GATCGCCACGACCAGGAAACTGGCCGGTAGGACAACGCAAGAAAAAGAGCAACGTCAAAGATAGAAGAACATGGGGACACGTTCTTTCTTTTAAGACTGTGTGTGTGACGACGGCCGATGGTTTAAAGGTGGACGGCCATGGCAACCGGATTCTGACCGATGAATGACGCATCTCAGAAAGCCGCCTCGAGGAAGCGACTTCAATTCTACGAATAGGGACTTTACAGAAGGAACGGCTATACGAAAGGATGATTACATATGGATTGCTTTGAGTGAAAGTTCCACAAGGACCAAATGGGCTCTATCAAAATCTTGACAAATAGTTTTCATGGACCCTTAGGAGCTTTTGCGATTTGAAGAATTTATCCAATTCAGAGGATAGTGATCAACTGAAAATACCCTCGTAAAGACTCTGTTGAGAAGTTTTCTAGCAAGGTTCTAACCAAATGGAATGGATCGATTGTTGAAAAGCTTTTAACCATTTTTAGCTCTAAATTTTAGCATGGCTTTGATTGAAATTAAGTTGAGCCGCAGACTTCGCCCATTCTCAATGCAGGATGCGCCACGTATTTGGACGGAATGCATGAAAGGGGAATCTTCGGTAAGCTTGTAAGACTTAAACATGGCGCAATCTCCGGCTGATCTCCTTTCTCGGCAATTTTACTTTGTTTTTTATTCGGGAACGGTGTCGCTGAAGAAGATGGAATATAACTACCAAGGATTCACGAACGATGTCGAACAATCGTAGCATAGCGATCGGGGCAAAGGCCTCGGGAGGCCCGACCAAATTATGGCCTGTGATGGTCGGCAAGGCGTCATGTTCAATCTGTTCATAGTATGCTGTTATTCTCGAACTGTTGCACGGTTAGTTGGCATGCTGTTTGGGAATAACGACCACCACCTATTGTGGGATTACACACATTTGTCTGAGAAGAGAAAAGGACGACGTGCTCTCTTCAGGTGGTTGTACTCTCCTATAAATATCTCATATGAAGCATCCGGAAATTTAGGAAGTCAAACCATTGGCGAAAAGGAAATTGTATTCTGACGCAACACCCCAGTGATCCCCGAAGTGGACTGGTCAGATCTGAGTGCACTCGAGCGCCCGTATTGGTTTATCCCATGTCCATCTGTGTCTCTAAAATGTGACCCATTTTCTGATTCTGACTGCTTCTCATCGCATCGTAATCCTCGAAACGGGTGTTCCAATTGCGGCAACGGGTTACGCTTCAGGTGTTGCGCGTTCGCTGCGCAACCATCGTCAACTGTTCTAATTAGGCTTTATGTCGGGCACTCTGGAAAGCTTGCCATTGTTCGAGGCGACCTGTTTTGATTGTGTTCGCGTTCGTACACCGTACCTCAGGAAGTGACGATTTCTGTGGTCTACAAGTGATCCGATCCACAGGGTTACTCAGTTGAGATCTTAACACCGACTAAGACCATCAGTAACGGGAATGTTCAGTGTGGAACTGATTGGGACGTCAGACATTTGAACTCTGCTATCCCATACAGTCGAGGGCTTCCTCTATGAAGAGTTCGACCAGTATTGACCTAGCACTGAGTAACTGATGTCTTCCAGTGCTTTCAGTCCTAAGAACTCAGTCCGATTGAGTTTTTCAATCTTTCTTGCTCGGTCTGTCGGTGCCGTTCGCTCCCAAGCGATTAACAGCACGTCATATGGCTTACCTAAACCTCCCAACCGATTCGTTTCCTCGGTCGAATATGTTTGCTCACTAGGATTTGGTATGAAGGTTATGAGTACATGGCGCACTCTGAAAAGGAAAGATTAGCAGATATTTCACGTATTCTTCTGATACTATACCTATAATCCCAAAATCTACCCAAAGTGCACCCTTCATCTTCCTTACCTTCCCAAGCAAATCGCGACTCGAATTATGCCCGTTAATATTGGCTTCTCACTGCCCACAACCTCCGGTGAAGACTACCCGAACCAGCAAGGTGCAAAGCGCCAAGATCAAGGGGCTTCCGCGCGTGTGCTAAGAGTGAATAGAGAAACGAAACTCTATCTGACAATTGTAAACCCCCTAGTTGTCTACCAAAAAAAAAATCAAAAAAAAGTTTTTGGAACTTCTGTCTCGTATGGATTGTTCGGTGTTCCAATGAATATCTCTTTCCAGATCGCTATGATGATGCTAATCGATCAGATTCCATCAAAAATCGTTGACGGTCATGGTTTTCGTAGTCTGATGAGGTAAGTGCTCATAAAGTCGACGCTGGTTTCACAGAGAAGCAAATTGGCTCGTGAAGATGGGTACTCATTCTCAAGCATTTCAACTAGTTTTGGATTTCTCGAACGAAGTTCCGAGAAGAGGTTGTGAAGGATTCTTTCGGAAGTTGTGGGTGTCAAGTGGAACTTACGCTGATATGCCCTTTGAAGATCTACCCTACTTTATGGCACTCTTACATGGGGTGAAGTACTCTTCCACAGCAGATTTTGATCACTCTGCTGAAACAGAGGCAGTAAAATCAAATGGAGATTTTGATGGTTAGTGAGTACTCTCACCACCTTCTAACCCTCAAGAGTGTTTTAATTGATAAAGGCTTGTCTAGGAAAATAAATGCACTGATTTTAACATCAGCTGGTCACCACAAGTCATTGTCTAGGTCACTGACCCTTAAAATTCTGAATGGAATTTGAGTGCAAGGGTACACCTGGGGTCGATCAAGGCCCAAAGGTATTACATAGCACCGGCATAGCAAGACAACTGCAGTACAGTATATTGCAATTATATAAACCAGGGGAACATGATGGAGCATTCTTGATGAGCCACGTATCAACTTCCTTAAGAAATCTTGGTAACATGGAAGCACTCATGTGCTCAGACAGAAGCCAGTCGCTGTACGACTTCATGACTTTCACCCTCTATTCTATTGTAGGGCCATAATTTTGCCACCATCGAGGTAGAGCTACATGATACACCTAAGTTTTCCTAGTGTTCCCACTTTTTCTTCATGAAACCGAAAAAGGAAACAAAGCACAGAGCAAGTAGAAGTTAGCTTTTATCAGTGGCAGTCCCGTGTGATAAGAAAGAAAGAGTTCCTGAGAATTTTCTGCGATGTTTTGGGAAACTTCTTGTTACCAGTCATTTCATAGAACTGGTGCAATGATATTTGGTCATTACAGTTTTCTTTTACCTGACTATCCAATGCCATCAGCAGAGCTGTTCGAATCCACAATTTGCCCAGAAGTGATCACGCAAATACAACCGCATCTTGCCAATCTATTCAGTACCAACAAGTAAGAAGCTTCGAGTTTTTTCAAAACAACTGTTCGACCGATCGATTGAAGGGGCTGTCGATCACCAAGACATTCAATTTTAACGAAATATTGTTGTAGGTGGTCGACCTGTTTACAGTAACGAAATTATACGGTAGTTTTCAGTACAGAGGACAACAAGCTTCTAAAATGTACCATGTTTTAGGGCATACAAGAAATCCGTTTTTGAAAGAATAGGGTAGAATCGTCCGCAGTTAGTCAAGAATCAGAGTGTATTCAGAGATAGCTAGCATTTTAGGGCATACAAGAAATTGTGAGGGAAGAAAGAGATTCATTGTACGTAATTAGAATCATCTGACATAGGCCTGGTCCACGATACAGATCGTTCCGGAGATGTCCAAGTACGACGAACTTGGGGCTCCCCAATATGTAATATGGGGCACTGTTGAGTCGAAAAACAACTTATATAGGGCGTTATAAAAGCTAAGGGATCTGCAGAGGACTAGCTTGAACTCCGTAGTGGAGGCCGCACTATTCATAAGGGACACCCATGTTGGAAAATCAGGCCACTAGCTGTGACCCAAAGCGGCAGTAGGAGCCACTTGTGTGGGCATTTTCGACTTGATGAAGCCAACTTTTCACGTCGTCTAAATATTCTTCCAATAGAATGCTCGTTATGGTAAGTTTGAACAACCCCTAATTTCCCTGAGTGGCTCTGTCAGAGCTTCTACCCCTCAGTACTTAATTAGTCTAATAAGTTTTCTAGCAGTAAGTTTTGACCCCTTCGTTTATCCACATGCAACCCAAAGCCATCAGTCATCCTGTAATTCCGGATGAGAAGCGAATGTGCGGCGCGCTCTAAAGCCATATAGGAGGTTGCCCAATCAAAGGGTAACCCCATCACGCGTGCTCATGGAATTCAAATACATTTGATTGTCACTTTGACGAAGTTGGTCGAATTCTCGAACGTCAGTGAACTGTAGTGGTTTGTTCGTCACTGATGGTGATGGGGGTCATTCATCAGTTGCACAGCGGGATCATCATGTACTTGAACCCGACGACGAAGGGCATAGAGGCCATGAGAGTAAAGGACGTATGTCGAACGGCAACCTACGAATCATTGGATGGCTGATAGGTCTTTGTTGCGTTTCGCCTAGCACACTCCTCAGGGATGTATGCTACCTCGTCGCACAGTGTTCTGCTGCCACCCGTACCGATGACAAAATGCTTGCGAACGTCGCTCGTCTCGTCTGTCACATTCGGGAAATTCTCCTTACGAAACCTATAGCTGTATTCAAATTAAAGTGTAGGGAGCTAGAAAGTTTTTTCATCGAGAAACTTGAGGGGTCTACAAAATTCTGATACCTAGGCTCAAAGAGGAGGAACCGAGCTCCCAACGAGCGTTGCACCGGTGGTTAAAGGCACAGTTCTCGGTAATTTTGAGGTACCCCTTTTCATCCGAAAAGCGGAAGTATAGGTTGGGAATAGTTAACCGGTAGTGAAGAAAGCGATTTTGAGAAAAATGAAGCTCCTCATAAGTAGGGAAAATGAAGGTGGGACGAGATTACCATGGCGGAAATAACATGGAATGGGTATTCGGGCGAGATTTCAGGTGTTGCAACTGCGCCAAGAGCTGACTACATAAAGCCAGAACGGTACAGAACTGCCTTTCATTGTCGCTATGGGTCATGATGAGTCGCTTGGCTCCTAGATGGGTTCCCTTGTGAATGGTGCAGCCTCTGCAATGCCGGTGAAACTTGTCCGAGGATACACACCACACAATCTTCGAATTCATCTTAAGGGAACCTTCAAGTGACTGGCTCTAATGTTCCTGTAATAGTTTAAAAACCCTTTTCCCTGAGCTCTTTTCCTGGATAAATGGATTGGGAGGGCAGAGCTATTGACAGCAAACATGCATCTACTGGAGCACTGTATTTACCATTTCTTAGGTGAACCCTTTGAGCGCCCAAAATTCTTGGATAAATGAGACCGCCTAAGAAATCGACCAGATTTTTCAAGGAATTCCAGTATTCCCTACAAGTCTGTGTTTAATTTTTCCAGAAAACCGAGTAATTGGAAAGCTAAGTGCTCACACATTCTAGACAGAGCAAAGATCTCAGGTGTACATAAACTTTTAAGGGGCTGTGGAATCGGGTAAAAGAAAATGGACCAAAATTTTTCCTCTCCATTTCCACAGCCTTGAAGGTTCCCGTGACACGTAGTCCCTTCAGTCCCTGATTCTTCGAAGGATAAAAATAGATCTGAAAAAATGGCCCTTTCAAAGAGCATGTTGTAGAATGTGCCTGATGGCTATTCAAGGTCGTACCCTCATTTGAATTACCTTCTTTTTTCGACTAAGTTTCCTGTCAAAAATTTGATTCATTTACTTGTTCGATCCTACTTTTGATTCGAACATTTTACAACTTTCATCCTTCAATTCAGCCCTCTCTCGGATCCATTCGAATCGCTGATGCAAGTACTGAAGAAACGTCAAGGCACTGGTGATGACTGTCATACTGTCAACTTCGATGGAAATGTTTCCAAGGTAAGTTGACTTTTACCAGGCACCTTTCCCCTTCTTAGAAGCTAGGTTGATAGTTGAAATATTTTTCTTATAAGGTTTATTTAGTCTTCGAAAAGGGATGAAGACAGTGACAGTTCGTGTTCAGTAGAAGTGGAAAGCGCTTTGTCACCACAAATCGAAGCATTCACCGATTATGTAGGACGATTTTCTTTTGCTAAGGTATGATCTGTTAATATCATAGCAGTGTTGGGTGCATATGCGTTTTGGCTACTACATCCATAAGTATCTATAAAGTATAAAGTCCTGGGCGTAGACCGATCCCGTTTGTGGAATTCTCCCCGCATTCGATTTCCACTCGGAATCCGGGTATTGTATAGTTATACGGCCTACAGAATGACTTGAGGTGGCCAGCCCATGTGCAGGTCAGTGCTTTTATCCTCCCTGAGAACTTTGATATCAATAGGAAGGAATGCCTGGTGCCTTGACTTGGGGAGCATCGATCCGAGATTCAATCTGCGTGTATGCTAATGCGCCACCCTCCACTACACTACCTTCCCATCGTCCTCTCGCTCCATAACTGTTATGGCTTGTACTATAGCTTACCCGACGAGCACCCATCTGGGGGACGGAACATTCACCCAGAACTGAATGGACGCGGCAAACCACGCGGCGAAATTCGTGGTGAAGTAAAGACTCGGGCGCCTATCACTGGGGCACAAACTTGAAGTGGGATAGATAAGTAGTACAGCTGGCCCTACATATCCAATCTACTTGAAACCCGTGCCCCAATGATAGGCGCCAAAACCGTTCAATCACCACGAACTCCGCCGCGCGGTTTGCCGCATCCATCCAGTTCTGGGTGAATGTACCCATACCCGCACACATCTAGATACATATCCCCGTGACACACATTGTACCGTAAGTGTGGTCCGTTGACGTCCCTGCCCAGATTTTTCTGTTTACGGGAGCATGAGTGGCAGGCGCACTCCACACACGGATGGTCACGATTCGAATCCTGGATCGATATTCGCCTAGGCTAAACAAGGCATTCATCCTTTCGGGGTCGGTTAATTGGTATCAGACTCGTCTGGGAGGATAAAACCTTTGACTTGTACGTTGGCTGGATACCGCAAGTTGTTGTATAGGTGTCACATGTGCAGTCAATACGACACTAGGATTCTGAATGGAAGTCTGCATCCTTCAGACGGGATTGGTGAACCCTCAAAGGCTTTATCCTTTATAGGAGCATGAGCTTTTAACGAAAAGCTACTTGAGGCTCATAAGTGTGTCCGGTACAAGCGGACAAATAGCTTGCACACGTTTCATACTTGCTCCAGATTCAGATACAAATTGTTCAAATGCTTCAGGACGAACTCCATTCACTTCTCACTGTCTGTCACAGTGTGTTCGGCTATTTTGAGGATCGACCCGCTCTGATGACTGAGTTGTCGCTGACGACGCCCACATTGGAGCCCACACAACCGCAACTGCTTCGTGACGTACTCTTTGTCGCTGAACATGCCGACCGTATCAATGCTTACATTCGTGCCACACCCGATATGGCGCTGCTCCCGATCTCTGACGCTCAGTTCCAAACCTTAACCGAACTCGTCCGACTTGTACGGAAAATCTAATCGTTATATCCTGGTTTGCTATGCTAAGTATAATTGTAGAATATTTCAACAATATATGCCATTATATGTATATGTACAGACAGCCGACTAGTGCTAGCTTTAGGTCATATCCATTGCTACATCGATAATGTGTGTTGTTCCCGACGGCCGTCTATAGAATCTGTCCCAAAGTCTAGCATGAAAAGGGTTTCCCTTAGGAGAACAACTAGCAGAAGATGTCAGAGTCAGCCGTTCTTGCCGTCATCACTTTTAGGATTAATATGCGCCTTTCATTCCGTGGGTACAGCTTTACGACCGTCCGATTATCATCAACTCGCTTCCTCGTTAGCTATTACTCATTAGTTTCTGAAAAAAATACCGAAAGTCATGCTACTAGTAACTGCCGACCCATTATACGAACATATGTCATCGCTATATAACAGCACCCAACCTTCAATTTTCTTGCCTTTCTCTCATTCGACCACCTCTATCGATTTATTACTTAATTACTTAAATTAGTATTGTTTTTCTCTCGACAGAATAAATAATTAATCATGATACAGTTGGTGTAAGACATGACGAGCCCTGTGACCCAATGGGCAGTACGGGTTCGAATCCGCCGGAGGTCGAAGTTTTGCCCACAACTCGCCATCTTTATGAGACTTTCACATTCATCGCGAACGGACAGTTTACAAGAACGTTAAATCATGATACAAATTCCGTTTCCCCCGAGTGTTCACCAATATAACCATGACATATTTATTTATTTGCTTATTTGATACACCCAAGGGTGTGCCATACAACACAAAAGCAGAAAGTGAAAGGCGATGGTCCTTCGAAAATAGAAAAAAACAATATACATTAGCCTAAGAAAAATTGAGGATAACGCCAGAGTTGAAATTGATACACGCCTTACTAGAGTAAAGGAGGTAACTGCGATAGAAAGAGAGACGGAAGCAAGAAGCTAGCATAAAGGAGCATTTGTTGAATAATGCTGGGACCTTTCTCATATGAACAGGAAAGCTGTTTTCCCCTGTGAAAAAAAGGCTTCTTGGTGTTACACTAGCCCATTATGCCTAGAGAGGCAGGAGTAACTAGGGCTTGCTGACAACAAAGCTCAATACGAACGAAATTCGATTCAGAACCACAGGCGAGTAGACGAAAGAAGACTTCAGGCGGAAGAGTAAATCGTCTCACAGGATCCTCAAACAGCCGGCACACATAAAAATGAAGGCCTCAGCATCATCTAAAGCTTACACCACCTAGCCGGCTTCTTGCCTCGAAGAAAGAGAAGGAACAGCAGTAAAGCAGAGGTGAAGTAAAGAAATGAACAAGTTGCCCGGCACAATCTAAGATAAATAAGGCTACCACAGACGGCAAATATTGCTAAGAGTAAGAAAAACCAATAAGAGAAATATGGGCGACGATGAACGCTCTACATTACTGTATAAGGAAACATGGAATATATCGAGGGAGGCACATATGTGGGGGAAACAGAGGAAAGAAGAAGCTCATTGATCAACATTGATTCCCTTTCCGAAAGCAGGACTTCAATGTAATCGACAATGGTAGGGGAAGGTAATGGAAGAGATTTTAGGGAAATTGGAACTCGCCACATATGAATTGCCATGAAAAGTTGTGAAAAGAATGAAAAGCTGCTTTGCGTCGGAAGTTTATGAAGTTTTCCAAAACGCTTTCACTGCATAAGATCGTGATCCTTATTTTCTAAATATTGGCTTTAGCTTTCTTACAAAAAAGCTTCTTATTAAAACCTTTGCATTTCTCCCGAAGAAAGTTGATATCCAAACAAGGTATTGCTTCTTTTGAGGATTATAACTTTCCCTGACATCCTTTAGAATATCGGTTGCCATATTTGATAAGGGCGAGAGCTCACTCGTTCGGGTATGCCTGCCTGAATTCTTTGAAGATACCTAAAAGACAGTCTTCGACTCTGGAACTTTTATAAAAAGTGTCTTTTAACCTAAAGTGTCGGTATTTCTGTCACCACCACATGAAGACCGTTCTACTTGAATAGGGAATCGTCCTTAAAGGCCAGTTCACGATATTTTTAAGGTACCCTTTTAAGGTTGGAAAGCGAGAGTGTTGGTGCAGAGGAGTACATCGGTGGCGAAGAAGCCGAAAAAATCAGCCTACTTCAAGCTTTTTGAAAGTAGTGGAAGCAGAAGTTGTACGAGATCACCGCGGACGTTTGTTTTTTGTTTTCGGACGAGATTTAACTCGCTCCCATCCTGCAAAGAGCTGATTACATCAAACTATAACTGTCCAGAATTGCCTTTCATTGCCGCCATGGCTTACGGAAAGTGTTTGAACTTTTGAAATGGGAGTCTCTCGAGATAGTACAGCTTCTACCAAGCCGTTGAAACTCGTACACGATGGGTGCGGCATTCACACGATACAATCTCTGGCCCCTGACTGTGCCCTATTCAAGACGTTTTTCGCCGTTATAACGACAGGTATGTATAAGGGGAGCCTCGAATTCATAATATAGGGAAATCTCAGAAACCATTTTTATTGTGATTTGCGCCTACCTGTATCGATTTTTATAGCAGTTGTAAGGCAAGTCAAGAGGTGCTGATTGAACCTTTCTTTATGAACCCACTCAACGGTAGATCCTTCAAAACGACTGTCAGCATTCAAGTGGGAATGGTCATTCACAAAACCCGATCATCACTATCCTTACAGTTCAAGGTACGTACCATGGAAACAGAAATGTGTGAGTCAAGACTAACAGAGGATGGGTGAATTTAGAAGGATTCTGAGTACGATATGAATGATGCTGAAGATTGTTTCTTAGAAGGTTTCATACAGCAACTAGGTCTCTCGAAGTCTTCGGTGCTGACCAAACTTTTCTGAAATGTGTTTCTGCATTCGTCTACAACTGAGCAATGTAATAGCATTTCGAGTGCATATGCAACCTAGAGAAAGCCAAAATTCGACTGTCAGCAATCTCAGTTTCCATCTTCGACCTATTCAGCTGTGTCGCTCCTGCTACAACTGCTGTTCATGACTCGCGGAAATCGAACTGCCTTCCACTGACCTCGTTCCTCTTCCATCGTTCAATATTTCCTACGGAGCTTTCTCCGCAGAGAGCGAATCATGGAACCGACTGATAAGGAGACGGGCATGGGTGCTGAGCAATTAACAGCATGTTGGAGACACAGGGTGGACCGAGTTCGTCTATTGAGTAAGCTCTCATCAGCTCTCACCCTTTAATCGTTTAATTGTGCGAGGCAGATAGTCACCCATTGAAACTACCATAGAAAGCAAATCTACAAAATCTGATAGTCCCTCATGATGGAGGATGAAAGGTAGAGAGTATGAAGTAGCCTTCGATCATGTCAGCTTGACCGTAACGTCCGGATTGGCAGAGGTATCAGCGAGGGGCAGGCGAAGACAGGCTTGATGGCAGCCCCAGCGACTAATGGCAGTAGAAGCGGGGCAGGCGCTCCTTCTCGATCTTTGCCAAATTCGAGCAATCGACTTTACTGTACTTCACCCATGCGGGACGTGGATCACACTCTAGACTCTAGACAAGACTTCTTGCAGGCGTGATCCACTATTAGGTTGCTCAGAAATACACATTTCGGGGTACGCTGCTAATGAATTTCCAAGCCTACTCCAGTGTTCAGATAGATGGCAACAAACAGCTTCATTCTTCATATCACGAAGATCTATAGTACCTATTTAAGCTTGAGATTTGCCAGATGTGGTCCATTTTAAGTCTCAGTAGCCGTTTACTCGCTAGTACTCACCGAGCTTTCTACTCGTTCACGAAAAGTACTCAACGAATCGTCGTACTCATCAGCACATTACATTCGAGTAAGTTCACGTTTGCTTCAAAACTTCGATTTCAGAGAGATGCAAGCGGAACTTGAGCACTGGCATGAGCATTTGAAATGTGTAAGCATCAGCTCGGCTTAGTGATTCTTCACCATTGCTCAGTACCCAGCAGAGTTTGAGCAATCCCCATGATGCCAGGAATCACGGCAAAAGACAATTTAGCTGTGGCTGTTGGAGACCGTCCTCAGAGTAGGATGTGGGTTTGCGTTGAAATAAGGTCTTCAGCCGAATAAACCAAAAAGTTCATGCAGGAAGTCGATCCCGGAAGTCACCTCTGACACCCTACTTTGGCGTACATCCTCTCTGTTTCTATAATCGCTTTACTGTCCGTCATTCTAGAAGACTGCTTGAACACAAACGCTTAAGGAGAGCTCAACTTCGGTGTTTCTTTATGAGGATATCCTTGTCCACACTCCCTGCAGGTTCACCGCTCCTGGAGGAGAATGAAACACTCTGTACTTCCTGATATCTCGTATATCAGCATGCGCAATCACACTTTTACCCTTATCACGGTGTGCATGATCAGAGATAACTTCTCATTCAACAAAACATGCTCTTGAGTTAGCGGCCACGTCGAGTCCAACAACATTCTTAACGGACTCACGACTACCTTCAACCGCGGCTACCTCCTCGTAGTGTACCCATCCTCTCCTTCCGATATTCTATCCTCTCACTACTGAGAGCCTTCAGAAGACGCTGTTCCACGTGATTGTATCACTGCATCCCTTAACGGAACAATAGAAAAATTAGCCCTGTCGCGAGCGCATACCATAGGTCTAGTCACAACGCAGCGTCTGAAGAAGCAGTAGCACTGTCTGCCTGCTCAACGTTATCGTTTTATTCTCTTTATTTTCGATCCTCTGAGTGCTCATTCAGCTCAATCACGCACCTAGCAACCGATTATGAAGATTGATAAGAAGGTCGGGGCCTCGGCTGGTATGAAATGGTACTCCTGACTTGTGTGAAGCGCTCGCGTTCCAGAGCTTGTAATAGGTGCCTAGAGGCTATCGATGGTAGAGTGACCAAATGTTCACAGTAGGCGGGGAGTGCCCCAAAGTGGGCGGACCCAGCTCCCCGGTCCTGGATTTGCGACGACCTAAACCCAAATTCATCTGGAGGGATTTCCTCTGCGTATTGGTGGAATACACGAGAAGCAGCTCCTTCGAAATTTTCTGCCTACCGGTGCTGCACTTAAAAGGATTCTAGTGTGCACAGCTCGACGAGTGACCAGCGAGTGAGAAGTAACGTGCCGAGTTTACCTCCTTCATGATAACCCTTTCCCCCTTGATTGCTAAAAAAATTCAAGAAGTTGAGGACGATTGGCTGGAGAAATTATCTCATAAACTCTATATGTACCCTTGATCTTGCGCCAGATGATTACCACACTTTCCTTTCTCTATTCAAGGCTGCACCCTAGAAAAAACAAATCACACGCTCATAGCTGCAAATTCTCTTAATCGCCATATAGTCTCTTTTGGTTAGTAGGCAATCGACCTCTAAGGTAGAGCTGAGCTGTATACAATTACCTATGAGTCAGCACTATGTCGATATAACAGTCAATGTCGATATACTGTGTTGAATGAGTATGGCTGAGATAGAACAAGAAAAACAATGTTCGAAGAACAAATATTTGTTAAAAGTGTTTCTGAAAACCAGATTGCCTTCAGGTAGGCGATTTGTAGGCGAAACTTTGGCCTCAGATGGGACTTTGGGCCGTACTCGTGGTATCCGCGCGCCTTGCATTTCATCCCTTGCACCACCGAGACCCAGGTTGCCCTCGTATTTCTAGTGGTTATATGCCATAGCCGAAGGATAATGTCTTGGGGCTTTAACCAATCCCATCTGAGGGATGCGCTCCGCATTCAACTTCAATTCAGTATTGTAATGCGCATGGAATGCGTATGGGGCCTACACAATGATTTGCGGTGACAAGCCGATATACAAGTCTGGGCTATCGCCTTCAGGCGAGTCAGGTACCAATTAGCCGACCGAAACCAGGAGAGATGGAAGGTGTGGTTAGCTTAAACGGATATCGATTAGGGATATGAACCCACCATGCGTGTGTGAAGTACGCCATCTGCCACTACAACACCTCCTCATAGCAAGTTCAGAGGGAAAATCAGTGGCTGGGGTTTCTCGGCAGTGTAAAGGACTAGGTACAAGGTGATCAGACAGCACAAGCTCGTTTTCGAGGCCCTTCCGAGAGCAAAATCCTGTTCACAAATGGCCACCTTGTGAGACTTTTGCATTGTGTAGTGTGGCGGTTAACAAGAACACCAAATCTAATTTTTAGATCCCATCCTGAGAATATGCTGTCGTTTATTCTAATTGCTTTGATACGTGTCTCCGTCATTGAGTGTTATTTGCATCATCTCGAAAAGGATTACGAAGCGTGTTCGCCATGGATCTATCACATGAAATTTAAAAAATGCTACAAAGTAGGTAAAATACTTACGAAACGGAATTTCTGTTCTATCCAAATGATGTTTTGTAGAAGTTCTGCTCAGACCGTTACTACTTTGATGCTGAGCTGCTGTGCAAGAGACTTGGCGGACAATTAGTGACCATTTGTAGTGAAGAAGAGAACTATTTTGTTGCCAGTACGTTTCACAGCTCTTCCTAGGGCGACGGAACTTTTCCCCGAATTCCCACGGCCTGCGGCAGTGGTTGCGCGGCGACTCTCCGTATCTTTTCACTGGAAATTCGAATCATTCCCTTCACAACGCGCAACCGCGTGCGGCGAGTGCGACACGCCGTTCGGGGAAAAGATACCAGACCCGCTCTTCCTATATCATTCAGACTTCTTATCATCTCATAATAAGAGTAAATTTCTATTTCTATTGTTCTGTCACAACTGTTTTTGTTCCCTTTAAGGAAGCTGGAAGCCTTTGTATAAATATAAATATAAATATAAATAAACAAATATATAAATAAATATATATAATATACCAGTCGGATCGCCCGGCTGACGCCGGGTTCTCCTGTCTCCTGTACTGAAGTTCACCCGCCGCCTGTTCCATTAAATTAATTCCATAGTTAAAATCTACGGCCTAAAAAAAGAGGAACTATTGACTTCCAACGAAACACACACACCGGTTGGATCCAGTTCAGTTACCTTCTACGCCTACCATCCAACCTGTCGCCTGCACTCGTTCGAAATTTGAACGCCCAGGTTAAAATTAGCAATTTCCCGCCTTCTGTGGGCAAGGTCGAGTCGTGCCATCTACCATTAATGTTTCCATCCTGCCAATAACTTTGAATGCAATAGATGCATGGGGGCAGGAGTAATGAGTTGCCGCAAAAAACTCCGCCCATTGTGGGAGGAATAGGTCATGCCACATACCATAATTGTTGCCATCTTGCCTCCTGTGCTCCTATCAAACTCAAACCACTGGGACAGGAATTATGAATTGCTGGTCAGATACACACACATATGTATACACACAAACACACCAACAGACACGCCAGCCAATTATAGAAGTAGGATATACAAATACATACACATATACATATACATATACATATACATATACATATACATATATTTACAGGGTGTCCCAAAATTATGGGCGCCAGTTCATGGCAATGTATTTGAAGCTTCTTAGCTGAGAGTGACAAAAGATTCCATATGCAAGTTTCTAACATTATGTGCTATAACATGCTACAATCAAAATTCAAATTACTCCCAACGAGCGTGAATAGAAGCCCAAAGTTTACCTTCGAACTCCTCGCGTGGAGCAGGTAAACTCCTCCATTTCTACCCAACCGTTCTAAAATCTTGCTTCTAAGAAGGACGTGTCGGGTTTTGGACTGCAAACTCTCTTCTTATCAGAGATCGTGCGGAGGGTTCGAGTGAGTTGACATCTGGGAAGTAGGTCGGCCAATCCTCCTTGCTAATGAAGTTAAGTACCACTTCGGAGTGAGCTTGGCTCTGTGAGCTGAGGTCCGTCCTGCTGGAAGGACTACAAAATGTTTCGAGGACCGAAGTCGGACCAGTGCTTCATTGCGTCCATCAGCATGCTCTTTGAGTAGGGTCTTGTCAATTCTCAAGTAACCACTTTAATATGGATGATTGCGCGTCCGATGTTCATAGCCAAAACGCGATCGCTTTATTTGTCAAGGATTGGTTTTTTTGCAAAAATTTTTTGACTGTAATGAAGTGTTGCGCGTATCCCTTCACGAGAGTCAACAGCTTTCTGAATCCTTCGACTCTACACTGCTTACTGGATTTGGAAACGTAGCGACATTTCTGCGTGAAATCGGAATCGCCACGAAGCCTCTGCTTGACAATCCGCCCCACCGATAACCTCGGCAGGTCCTGCTTCGATCGACAAAATGATCATTTTGATGGCTTGGTTTGTCTTAGATTGAATCCTCTTCTCTGTTTCGCTTGATAGCCCCTGTACGGATACTATACGAATCACAAGGATTTTCATATCCTCTTCCTGTTCCGTCGCCTATCGCATGCCAGTGATTGCAAGGGGCATTGAATGAGCTCCGACTATCTGAAAAATAATGGGAGCTTCACTTCAGTAACCATGTATAGTGCAAGAGAACCTTCCAGTGCAACTGATTATTTTTGGGTAATGAGATTATTGATTTAGGATATTCTGGTAATGAATTTGATTGGTTTGTAAAATTGTCGGCATGTCTGTGCGTCGGTGTGTCGGTGTGTCGGTCTGTCCGTTAAACTGTCCGCAAAACTCATGGTTACGATAGAGATAGTGATATGGAAAACCGAGCTCTGTTCTACACTTTCTTCTTATATATTAGTTGGTTGGTAGGTTGATGGAGTAGAGTGAGTACTGCGGAGTGAGGTGAGGGATGTGAGTGAAGTGTGTAATTGAAAACTGTGATTTCGATCTGTGCCGGCATCGTACTATGCATGTCTTTACAAAAATCGGAGGTAATAATGTAGTGGGGAGATCTCCGTTTTTTCAACATAATTCAACATAAGGAGGTTAACCTATAATTGTGCTCATTAAAGTTTTTCAGCCGAGAACATACATTTTTTTGATGTGAGCTTTAGGAGGAAGGGGGTATCGAGGTGGGTGTGCCAATTGAATAATCATCTGATAGCCCATCCTAGCTTTCTGGCACAAGGCAATCACCCCACCCCCACCCCTCCACTCCCTTTCTACTGAGGCTCAGCGTGAAACCATATTCTTTCGCCTAGACCCGTTTCTAAGTACAGGTCAGATAGGCTACCCCTCATCTGCAATCTAGCTCTCAGTCTTGGATAAAAGCAGTACCCTCCCCCCCCCCACCTTGATTACACTTTCTAGCTACTCGCTAAAAGTAAGCAATGAGGCCAGCGTATGCTTTGCGACCCGACTGGTATCCTTCTTTATATAATTCGCTAAGTGTGTCTGTTGGTGTGTTGGTGTGTTGGTGTGTTGGTATGTCGGTGTGTCGGTGTGTCGGTGTGTCGGTGTGTCAGTGTGTCGGTGTGTCGGTGTGTCGGTGTGTCGGTGTGTCGGTGTGTGTGTGTGTGTGTGAAAGCTTGAATTTGGAAAAAGTAAGGGGGCAGCACGGGAACAGCTATGGTAAGTGGCAGGACCGGATTCCGTCTACAGGGAGCGCGGCTTGTGCGTTAGAAATTTTGGGCCCCAAATTCATAACTCCTGTCCCAATGGACCTAGAAAGCTCAAATTCGGCAGGAGTACAGGAAGCAGCATGGGAACACTTACGGCAGGTAGCAAGACCGGACTCCGCCCACGGGGGGTGGGGCGTGCGCGATATCTCGATCAGAAATCGATCTGAAATCTTAGGTTGCAAGTTCACAATAGTAATAACATAATAACAAGTAAGCAAGCGTTGCCTTCCCCTTCGTTGTCAACAGTAAAACCTGTTCAATGACAGCAATGTAGGATGTGTCGCGGTCGCAGGTACTCTGTGACAGGAACTGATAACAACTGATAAGAACTGATAAGGGGCCTTAGAGAGCATAAGGGGATTCATGATCAAACACTGACTCTTTAAAATGGTTCATTCGACGTTTAAGACTCTAAATGCAGTAATAGCGACCGATCAAAGACATTCCTCCATAACGAAATGAAAATACTGTCTTACTTCTTACTATTAAACTACGACCGTTACGCAGTAAGTTTTGTGACACAATGAAGTACCACGATTCCTTTTTGTTTTGTGACATATCATTTGTGACTGAACTCATCTGACCGCTAATGATTTGGAATTCCCAATTACTGAAAAATCCGTGGGGAAAATGTTCCATTGATAACGACAGGCGTAGTTATCCATTTCTGGATACCATTCAAGTCATTGGTTGGCAATCAGTCAAACCATCATTGTGACACAACTTCGAGATGAAGAGCAATGAATCGAGACTTCTAATTAATATATAATCAATTATATTACAGAGAAATCGCTCCCAATTCTGAGCTAATATTGAGGGTGAAGAGCTTTCAAAGGTAAAGGAGAATCTGAAAAAGGAGAATCTGAAGTTTTATTTACGCATAGCAAAATTCTTGCAAGAAGGAGGAGCTCACGGCGAAGCTGGGCGACACCATAAGAAGGAGGGAAGCACGGCGTTAGCCGGGCGGCCCGACTTGTATTAAATAAAACACGCTAGGTGTTCCCGTTGGTTTGTCAATGTGTGCGTGATTTTGTGTGTATATGTATGTGTTGTGTAATTTTCTGTGTGTATGTATGTGTGTGTATGTATGTATGTATGTGTGTGTTTGTGTCCGGGGATTGTTAACTTTCATAACTACTGTAAATTCATTAAATTCATAAGTCATACTCTCCTGTGCCGCAGAACCAAACTTGGAAGGGATACGAGTGACAGGCCAAGCTAAACACGAGAAGAAGGCAAGTTATTTATCTGCTTATGGAAGCTAGTGATCAGGTGTGGAAGGAAGTGGAAAATAATTCGATTCTGTTGAACAGAAAAAAAAATATTAGATTTGGCTGGACTCGTTGAAGTTGAGGTGTGGGAATGGGAATCAATCAAGAAGTGGCACTATTTACCCTTGACTGCCCCACTTTGTCGAGAATGGGCTGGCATTCTACCTAATTTTTTTCAAGAAGGTGAAACCGACTAGAAACTTGCCTAGAAGGTTAACTTGACCCGTAGAACACGAATACGCATCCGTTCGTCATTAGAACGCCTGGCTGTGGTACTTAGAGGCAAGTATCTAGCAAGGTTGGTAACCCAGCCCCAATTGGCCCCGGCGCCTGTGATACAAGCGCTAGGCATCTTTATGACGAGTGGATATGGTATTCGTGTTCTACGTGTCAAATTCGGGTCAAATTACCCTCTAAGCAAGTTTCTAGTCGGTTTCATCATCCTGAAATAAAATTCGATAGAAATCCAGCCCATTCTCGACAAAGTGGGGCAAAGGGTAAATAGTGCCCAAGAAGTTGTTTGGCACATGCACAGCTTCATAGCGGTAATTGAGTGGATGGACGTCCCTATTATCCCTTGAAGGCAGTGTCATTGTGCCTCTGAGAGTGAACCTTAAATTTCTGAAAAAGATGCCATCATCTATCATATCTTTTTTATGTTGACGAATATTCTTTTGCATCAACCTTGCCCAGACCTACTTACCCATTAATCTGATTTCAGTGCTATCGCGTTTCCATATGAGTGGCGATGGTCCTATAACTGATCGATTTACATGGATTGGTTTGAGACTGGATGACGTTTTTAAACCTTGGTATTGGAGAGACGGCAGTAAGTGCCCATTTCGAAAATGGGCAAGCGGCGAACCGACATTCCTCTTCGACAACTACGCAGCTGTACTTATATCCTTCTATTTATTCATTTCGTTCGAAACTTTAACAACAGCAACTTCCAGTTGGCTACCGTCTACAGAAATCAGTACGACCAATGGTATGGTGCAACCAACCTCTGGGGAGGCAAGGCTATGTGCGAAATCAAGGACTGCACTATTGATAAATTGGGCGTGTGATTTACGAATGTATTACTCAACAAACTTATTTATGTGCAGCTTTTTTATTGCTTTGTGATAAAAGAGTTGACAAAACGTTTTATTTTTCTTCCGAAGATTTCTTCCTTAGCTATTGTTTCATATCTGTTTGGTGCTGTCCCAGCTCATTGAAGGCTATAGGGGAGGCATAGCCTAACACTGCGATCAACTGTGATGCAGCCATTTATGAATTTCACCAAAGCCCACGTTTCAGAACACTTCAAAAAAAGTCCCAGTATGGAATATGTGTCCTATTCTGACCGTAACTTCGGACCATCAGCAAGTTCCACATCAGAAAAAGTCATTTTTCCTGTGCTTCAAGGAAATGATACCGCCCACACTCAAATCAACCTATAATAGCTGAATGATGACGAAGAAAGGAAATTGCGTGGTTATCGATCAATTAGGCTCCATTCCCTCAATACCTTAGAATTACTGCTGTCTAAGGTAAAAAGCTAAAGTTTTAGCTGTCGTATTCGACACTTCTCCCGAAATTGGTTGCTTGTCGACTGTCTTTTTTCCGAAAATAGCGTACGTCTGAGACTGTTTTGGTCCCATACTCTGCAAGATTTCTGGAGAAATTGTCGACAACTGCTTGGTATCGGCTCAATTCTCGAGTTATTCTACGATCTGATTTGGTCTTCGTTATTTTCTGTGGGAATCTGACCTTTCTCGAAATCGAATAGCAACTCATCTCCGCTCATTACCTGAAATTATAATTCAATACACAAATGAAGCAGCTATTTAAGGTGTAAATGAAATGAGACGGGAAAAATTGAGGTGGCCGAATCATTTGATAAGATGGGCAAAGTAACACTTTCTGGAAAAATGGGAGGGAAAGTTGTCCATATTCATAAAGAGGGATGTTTTGCTCGTCTACAAGTTTACTTTCCACTTTCCAGTCTATTCCTTCGCTTGAAGTGCGCTTGAAAGTGAGCTTTGGTGCAGTTCATATGTGACTGTACCATTATTTAACACAGTGTACTTCCAAGAGGTACCATTTCATACCTATCCTATCCTTACTATATATAAAGCACTCGCGTCTGTCTGTCTGTCTGTTTGTTTGTTTGTTTGCACGGAAATTCATAACTCCTGTCCCCGTGGACCTAGAACGTTCAAATGTAATAGAAGCACTGGCGGCAGGATGGGAACACTTATGGTAGGTGACCGGCCAGGACTCCGCCTACAGGGAGCGGGATTTGCGCGAATCAAATGTTGGAGTGGGAAAATCATAACTCCTGCTCCGTGGACCTGGATCGTTCAAACTTGGTAAGAATACAGGAGGCAGGATGGAAACATTTATGGCGGGTGGCAGGACGGGACCGCGTTCACAGGGTGCGGGGTTTGCGCCCAAATTGTCATTTTGGCCCTATGGCGTTCAAACTTGGCAGGAGTATAGGCGGCAGGGTGGCAACACTTATGGGGTGGGAAGATCGGACCATAGGAGGTGAGGTTTGCGCGAATATTTTCAATGTGGCTCTAGGACGTTATAACTCGCCAGGCGAACAGGCGGCAGTACGCGAACACTTATGTTGGGCAGTAGGGCCGGACTGCACCCACCGGAGGCGGGGTTTGGGCGAAATAAATGTTTGAGCGAAAATCCATAACTCCCGATCCGGTGAACTTGGTAAGCAAAATCAATAGGAGTAGGGGGGGCAGGAACATTGACGACAGAAGAGGCCTTAGAGAACAAGATCCAATCACCAATTATATCCTAGCGCCCTTATTATTTACGACCTAGCTTTGATTCTTTGTTATAATTCATTCGACAAAAAGGGTGAGTGCACTGATAGGGTCCGATTATGAAATTTGCTTCACTTTTTGCTCACGACCGCTACCCAGCGAAGTTTGCGATTCAATGAAGGGTCACGGTTCCTCTCTGGTTCGAAATCATTCATGGCTGTACCTATCCGACCGCTAATAACCTGAGAGCCCCTATTTATGATACATCCTTAGAGAAAAGTTCCATTGATTACAGCCACCTATTTTTGCAGTCTGCTTCTCCTTGAGGTATGAAGAGTCACTAAGCCTTTGTTCGAGAGACTTTGCTCATAAAGATGGTGAGCACATCCAACTGTTAGCAGCGGTAGAATGAGCTCATGTTACCTTCCTACGGAGCAAAGTTCTGTGAGCCAAACATTAAAGTAACCTCTATGCCGAGTACTGCTTTTGACTACATAACCACAGCACTGCGTATCCATATCAGTTGATATTTGAGCGCGCGTTAGCGTGCATTGCCAAGCTGGTTTTACATAATTCTCCATGTGTGTCTTTTGGTGTGTCTGTGTGTGTGTCGGTGTGTGTGTTTGACCGGAAATTCATACTCCTGTTTCAGTGGACCCAAAGCGTTCAAAATTGGTAGGAGTACAGGGGCGGCATGGAGAGCAACAGCCACCTACCGATCAAAATCCTAACCTTTCGGTGTTTACGATGTAACTTTGACTGTTCAGTATGTTTCATACGATAAGACGGGATGGTAGAGTAGGGTGACAAACGTGACAGGTAAGTGCAGAAACCATTAGCGGTACTACGAAAATGAGATTATTATTTTGTTCATTTCTTGCTTTTGATTACGACCGCTACCCAGCAATGTTTGTGACTCAATGAAGGATCCTCTCTGGCCGATATAATTTGCGACAGAACTTAACCGACCACCAGTAATCTGGAATTTCGATAAATGATATCTCCGTGAAGAAAAGGGTCCATTGATAACGACACCTGATAACGGTGTTATGATCACTCGGAACTTTTGTAAGTACCGCCCAAGGCTTTGGTTGCCTAATAGTGGAGTCTTCAATGAGTATTCAATTTCAAGAAAAAAAGCAGAAGATCGAGATTTTCAATCAAAGGCATAAGCACCGACCTACACTGAATACCATTTGCAATGCCCCGTTGATGTTTGGCCCTGTCAAACTTCGTGTTCAGGGAAGTATTACTTGTTTCGAAGAAAGTGTAGAGAGTAAGCCGATTACTACAACTTTGTCGAATAAGGAGGTTCGAAGGAAAATAAGTAATAGGGAATAATACTACATGATAAAAGGACCAGTCGGCTTGCCCGGCTATCGTCGGACATCCTGCTTCTTATGTAAAGTCGAACCGACTCTACATAAGAGGGAGAATGGTGCAATCCGACTGGTATAACTTAAGGTGCAGTTGAAGCCACGCCAGCACTACAGATCTTCCATGGCGTCCGTCATGCACACCGACTGCATGCTCTTTTACTCTTGCTCTTGATCCGTACGTAGAAATTATCGAGAAAATCCGGTGGGCAGTAGTTTCTATTTTTCCGTAGAACAGATGTTCAATAATGTGGCAGCGATTTTTTTTCAAGGAGGACGAGTCCTTTCCATGTTTTGGTGAGGCGACGTGACGGTGACGTTCATTGCAATTGCAGAAAAAAGGCGGAAACTGAGCAAAAAACGGTTTGAAATCGCTGGCTCTCCTCTTTTCTTGACTCTTACTCACAAGATCACATTACCTATTTTTGTCATATGCTAACAATGCTATCATAGTCATCACATTATACCTATTTTCCTCATTCAGCCCTTCTTTGTTTTTTCTATTTCTTCGAGCCAGCGACATTAACGTCTTCATCCCCCTCTGTCACGAGCCAGAGTGATTGAGAGGTTCGCCCTCGCCCGAGGGACACGAGACATAGGATCCTTTTCGTTCAGAACTTTCGTGTACGAAACTCCAACTCAAGGTTATTACTCTTCTGCCAGTGCTTGTATAGAAAAAATTCGAGCGTAGTCCTTCTCCCAGTTCACTGAGTGCACACTGGCTGCATGTTCACCCTGCTTTCGTAGAATCGGAATCTCCGAGGCGTACGTCAACGCAGCAAGGACCGCATTTTCGAAGAGGTGAGATCGAAGCCAGACAAACTCTTGTGTGCTCCCAGTGCCATGCATTTCATTCTGCTTAGCTGCAGAGCTAGGTCGTTCTTCCTATTGACTTCTCGACCTAGATACACGTAGCTGAAGTATTCAGGTATGTTTGCTCCATAAAGAGGCATTAGGTACCAATCACTTCGCATGAACGTCGCCTTCGTTGAGTACGGTCTTAACATGATCTTTCCGCGAGAGCCATCAAATAGTTCTTTTCGGTGTTGGGCTTTCTAAGCATGATGCCGTCTGCGAACCTGATATGAAAAGCCCTGCCGAACCTTTCTCTTAAGGTTGGCAGTCTTTTCCTTGTAGAATTATGAGATCCTGATCATAAATTTATCATGAAGAGCTTACGAGGCATCCTTTTTCACCGGTGAGATCACTCTGGTCGCGCAAGGCTTCTCAAACCGCTTCCGCCTGTTATCAGAAACCCTCTTTGTATCAATAACGTCGTACAATACGGCATATTGTGTTCTCACGACACTTTGATGAGATTTGTAATAGTGCGGATGTGATTGAATGCACTGAACCCTCTCCGATACTCTTCTTGCTCACATCACTGTCTCGAAGGTATACCGACGGTAGGATGGTATCGCTGATGATAAGAGTTGATAGCCACGATATTCACCAAGAAGAAGCCTCAGAAGGCAAGGTCATTAAATCTGTAATCTATCGTGTTTGAACCCAGACACAGTGACTCGAGTGTACCGGGATCGTGGCTGCTTGCTTACCGGAAGTGATAACCATTGATAAGGCCGGCAGAAAGCTGTGGAAGGTAAGCAATTATTGATTCCACTACGGTTTCATGTTGACAGTTGAATCCTGGCATTCTAGTAGCTGATACATGTAAAGGGACCGTCAAGGATTGATAACAAAAACTTACATCATCTCATAAAGATGAATAAGAAGCCATATGATAAGAGTCACTGAATCGAGTACGTCCTCCTTGTCAACAGTGCAATCTCGACACATTTACGGATGATGTCAGGTGTGATAGATACTTACACTCCTTCCTGTCACCAACCGATCCGGTGGCTTGGTGGTTGACAGGGAGGAAAACTTACGGCAACGGAGCATTGCCGATTCAGAGTGACATCTTACTGAAGCTACTAAGGAACCCAACAAGGCTTTTTTTTTTTACCTATTTGGAGGATGTAGTGGAAAGTGGCGCACCATATCACACGCACGGTCAGCGGTTCGAATCCCGGATTGATGCCCGCCTAGGCCAAATAAGCCTTCCATCCCTCCGGGATCGGTGAATTGGTACCAGACTTGTCTGGGCGATATAGATAGTGTGATATGGAAGACCCAGACCTATTCAACATTTCCTTTTCATATATGTATAAAGCAGTGAATTAGTGGGTAGGTTAATGGAATGGAGTGAGTGCTGCGGAGTGAAGTGAGTAATACGGAGTAAAATGGGTATTTCAAAGCTGTGACTTAGATCTATCGTGTTATGTAGGTATATATGCATAAAAATTGGAGGTCACGATGTAGTTGAAAGACCTCCGCTTTTTTCAGCATTGAGCGCTAGAGCTGTGGAGGTTAGCCCCTAATTGAGTTCAAGGACGTTTTTTAGCCGAGATTATACAGTTTTTCGACCTAAATTCCAGAAGGGACGGAGCAGCGGGGTGGGTGAGTCAATTGGACATTCAACTGAACTTGACTCACTTGAAACCCACGAATGGTCCCTGATTAGAAGTGGACCTGTCGAGTTTGCAGTCCCAATTTGGAGCCCTAGAGTGCAAAAGCTGGAGGACGCCTGGGAAGAAATGGAGAAGGATACCGGCGTGCCACATGCGCTCAGTAGCAGAAAATTCTGTGAGCCAATAAAGCCAATAGAAGGAAGGAGAACTTTTCAATGGATGGTATGTGTTGGGATTACAGGAAACAGATGAAGGTTTCCCAATCTTTAGTGAAGGCGATAGGCCCCATAGGAATTTGTAGTGCTCACGAAATGAGGGAAATTCGCCCACGTGTTTGAAAATCTACTAGTTGTCAATGCGGAACTAAGAGTCAAGCCTGAAATCTAACATTGTAGAAAAACAGAGAGAAGCAGGGCGATTGGACTGGTAAATCATAGTGTATAATTACCTAGGCAATTTTAAATAATCGATACCGATTAACATTGATATGCAGTGTGGTTGGCTACGCAATCATGCTTCAACTACTACTGTAGTAAAGCGATCGGATAGGTAGAGGACACAGGCGTTTGGGACTTGGGTAAAGTGTGCTTGAGCACTGAGACCTTTAATACTTGAAATAGAGCCTAGCCACACTTCAGAAACCAATTCGAAAACAGAATTCTTCTAATGGTGGGCGTGGATATATTCGCTAAATAAACAGCAAGGAACTTCTGCTACTATTATAATTCAATGGTAACTCGAAATTGATACGGTCTTGCTGTCTGGTAACTTTCGTCTGCCGTACGGCCTACCTCACCTTATAATCCTTCAAAAGCGTCACTGTTATCTTCAAATAGCCTCGTATACTGCTGCACTTGTTTCGATAAGCATGTCTTATACAAAAGTTCAAAATTTTATTTCATACGCTCGGGCTCCAAAAAAAAGGAGGGAAGGAAAAGGAGCCAGCTGCTTTTGTCTCAAACTCAAGTTCAGTTTGATAGTCTTAGGGCAATAATTGATAGATATTGTTTTGATATTTCACCTTACATCCCAATTGCTTCCAGTGTTTTACGTGATGTATATTCCCGATGAAACCTTCGTGGATCTTTCTCATCGAAGTTTTCACTCTCGCTGAAGAATTTCTAGCCTTTTTGTGAGCTTACGTAGCGTAACCCCAAGTGGGCGGATAGGGAAGTGAATTGCGGTTGCGGGTCAAAAGTCATAGATACAAGTCCAGAGACACAGCTGGATTTACTAAAAGAGCCTCTGTTTCTGCTGTGCTGTTTCGACATACCTCTTGAATCTTGCAACTGTACCCACGCATGCATGTGCGGATACTGCACATCCATTAGAAAGACACCGCTTCAGACTAGGAAGTATCCGGGAAGTGAATCGGAAATCAAGGTAAAAGGTCTGTATTTATCTAAAAATTGAAACCCCTGCAGTTGTCACAATTTTGTTTTGTTCTGTTCTTTTGGACTTGCTCACATGTGTTGTTTCACATGTCTTCTGATAAATAAATAAAATAAATAAATCGAAACCCTTAGTCCACTCTGACTCCTCGCACGTATTTCCATGCATACGCGTGCAGAGAGTCTGGAGAGTCTGCCGATACGTTTGGTATCCTGCACACTCTTCAGTTGAAAACTCACATTCGGATAACATTCACGGCAACGTTCCATAAAAAAAACTCGGGAGAGGCTGCTAAAATTTGGAGACAGAAACAAGCTGTCAAAAAGGAGGACGACTAAGATGGTAACCTGTACTTTCAACACAGACTCTCTCATTGGAAGACGATCTGAACATACAAGCTAGGAAGACCAGTACGACCTCATCAGTCGGTCTGTTCGAGACAAGAGGGCATCATGCATCGCTCGCTGGGCACCATTGATCAGACTGAAGGAAAATTTTTCCTTGGATTGCGACAGCACAGGCGTCTGTGGTGTAGTTGTCCTCGTCAATAAACACAGCCATAAACATCGATATTTACGAAAGCAACCTGAACCGGACGTTTGTGACTGAGGATATGTGGCTCAACCCCAGCTTTTATATTCTACCTTGCCTTATCCTATTTTCTACCTTGTCTTAACGTTAATATTGTGCTACTGGGAGGAGGTGCTGGGAGCGATTTGCATGGACTGAAGCGTTTTTTATGGACCAGAAAATGTTTCAGAGAGAAAAACACGACGAACTTCATTGGTTCCAAGACCAAATTCCAAAAAAAGGCTGAAGAGGAACATATCAAGGCTAAGCGAAGACATAGGATTAGCAGGGTAAAAGCCTGTTTGTGTTGATCATGCAGCCGCGATAACTTGCAATCCCAGAAACCCTCTAGTTTGCGATGGATTCGGAAGTCACCTGGTACACGGTTCCGTAGCAGAATAACCGCATCACTTCCAATCAAAAGTTTTGTCTGATTTATGTCGCTGTTGTTTCGAAGTTCTATAGACTCGAACCGTCACCTCTTCTGTGCTAGATTCTCTTTACCAATGCATGGAGAGAGAGAAAGTCTAGGAAAGGAAGCTCAGGGCCGTCATCGATCAGGGTCACTTCGCCTCTCTTGCAAGCTTACGGGAGGATTTCATCCCGGCAACATCGACTATGAATACAATCGGCCCACTGAATCACGAAAGTGCTAGATCACGCCATCACGCACGCGATAAAAGTGATAATCCAGAAATTCTCGAGAGATATCTTTCCTAGAAGGCCTCTCAAGCTGATACCCTAACGCAAAGTAATGCCAGCTGCCGGTAATCTGAAATAATGCTCATTAACAGACATGCGAGACTAGGGGTTGGTACGAGACGTTCTCCTACACTAGACGGAGTGAACATCTCTGGTTATTCCTGCAATTTGAATCTATTTGTAAGCTGAAAAGTCAATTTGATGAACGATCTAGCTCTGGTAGAAGGGAATGCGAGAAAAGCGGTCATGAATACTGAGGGAGTAGTGAAGAAGACAATGAATATCAAGCTCTGCGCTCAACTTTTCGATCCTGCTGCTTTTTCTGTTCTGACGTCTTTCGGAGACTTCGAATCTGCGAAAACAGGGTGACATGCAAGAGTGTCGTTTAATGCGTTGTGTAAAGGGTGATGATCGGAATCCAAGTGCAAAAGGGAATTCGGAATTCTGAGATCCGTCAGGAACGGAGATCAGAGATGCGGAATCGACGCCGAGGAAGTAAGATTAGGTTGGCTTGATGCTTGAGTGATACAGTGATGGCGGTCGGATCAGGGCGATTATAAATAAATTAAATCCTTTGGACGTCAAACGAACACCAAGATGGCTGCAGCGCACTGATCAGACTACTTCGCGGAAGCTCCCAAGGAAAGGAGAGCTATAACTTGGACCTCGAGTGAGGAATATCCCTTAGATTACACTGGCTTTCGTCAAGACCGATTGGAGACGCCAATGGAGCACGCTCGAAAAAACTTGACGATAAGTGGGACCACAGGTGATTTCTGACCCTTTCAATAGCAGGTGGAGTGAGAGAGACAAAGGCAAAGTTTGTCCTCATCACTTATGGATCACCTTTGCATTATGAGGAGTAGAGAGCGTTAAACAGCTGCAAGGGAATGCTTAGCAGTGTAGAGGGCACTTATGCAGTTATAATAATAGACTTTGCTCTTCAGCAAACAACGAACGACTCGGAAGGCGAACTCAGGTGGATGAAGTTCCTACCAATGACATCAGTTGGGCTTATCCTTGTTATCAAGGTGAATCCCATTGATTAGTATTATGCTTCACTATCATGCCTATATAAGCTTGACTTTTGAGAAGTATGGTTCATCATAGTCGACTGCAATCTAGCTCAAGTCACCGGTGAGTTCATGTCTTAGTCAGAACTCTCAGTTTCAGGCAAAGACGAGCAGAACCTCACCATGTAATCAGACATGAAGGCACTGAGCATCCGCCGGGTAGAACTAATCACAAGAACAGCTTATGCGACAGAGACTGACAGCATTCACCTGTATGACATTGGGAGCCGTGGCAAGAAGCACTCGGTTGTGGTGTCCGAGAGACCAATACTATGCTTAGTCTATACCTCTTGTAGAAGGTCATGTCGGGTGAGGCTGTATTGTGAACAGGTCTCGAGCAAATACTAGAACAGGTGGATTCTAACCGTCACCAAAATCTCCTTCGCACATATATACCTTTCCCGCTCTCAGAAGACTTTGTCTTTTAGAATTTTCGACTAACCCCCTTTTCAGATATTCAGGGAAACTGCTTGAAGATGATAAAGAGCGGAGAGGTGTTTAATGTATGTGTATCTGTGCGGTGATGCTGCATAACCTCGTCTTACTCAGTAGAGTCGACAGCGATGGTGTTTTTCTGGAATAGCTTGAACGCCTGTATGCGGACATACCACTCTCAACGAAAGGGAATTAGAACTGATGTACTGCCTGATAAAATCCTGTATTATCATGCATTATCACACTTCCCCACCTCAAGAAGGAGTGCATAAGGAATGATAGCTATTCAGCCAACAAGTCATGCACTTATGTAAGCAAGTAAGTAGCAGGCCTATCGGGTGCGTGAACATTCTTGTCGGCCAAATGGTTCGCATGGTGCATCCTGGAGCCCCTACTTATCTTCTCCTCCCACTGCAAAGAGTTCATAGAGTAATAGAAAACCCGCCACTCCGAGCCATACCATCTCTGCTTCCTCGCACGAAAAATAAAATTTGCCCGTTACGTGCGCATGAGTGTCCAACACGCAACCGCACAGTGACTGACCAAGCAGAGTCGGCGTCATTTCCATCTACGCTACCGTTGGCCTTCTCTTGTTGTTTATATCTTCAAGCGTTCATTCAAACTAGTAGCAGCCTTGATATACTCTAAGCTAGCCAACGGGAAACGGAACTTAGGTGCGTCCGAGGATGCGCGCAGCAAATGGCGCGGCGATGGGCGTGACGATTTGTAGACTCCGACGCCAATTTTCGAGGCAAAAACTCAAAGTGAAGTAGTTTAGTAGGGTCAGGTGATCCTTCTAATCTACTCTTCTTCAAGTTTGTGCCCAATAATAGACACCAGAGTCGTTCGAATCGCCACGCACTTCGCCGCGCAATTTGCCGCGTGCATCCTCGGAAGCACGTATGTACCCATACCCCTAGCCAACACGAGTTATGCAGCTACCAGCAACAGCTGATAGAGGCTGATAAGAACACAGGGGTAATGGATGAAACAATGTACTAGTCTTTACTATATAAAAGTGCTGACGTCTGTCTATCGCCTGTCGTGTTGTCACTAAATTGTTACCGTGATACCTGAAGGATTGCTTGAATAGAATGGGTCAAGTTGGGGAGGGGTAGGGCAAAGACTAATCTATAGAGCATGCCGTACTAAATGGGACCTGCAATTGCATAGTCATAATGCTAATGCATGTTACACACTCCTATCATCTTTTTCATCTTTACGCACGGACACATTCCCACACAACCACAGGGTACACACACAGATACAGGCACACACACACTTGTACGACACACACGACACACATCAACACCCACTCGCACCCATTCACCCACACGC